GCTGTCAGCCTAAGAACAGCAGGAAGGAGCAACTACTGAGAAGGAACTCATTTATGTGCTAAAAATTGAATAACTGCGAACAGGCCGGCCACCTGCTTGTCGTCCAGCGCACCGCAATGAGCTAGTTTGAGTTTGGTTCTAAGCTGTCCCTCGAGATCAGAAGCTTTCCAAGCTTGAACAGGAGGCTGAGCAGCAGGCGAGTAGCTTTGTGAAAAAAAAGGCAACTGCAAGAAATGATCCCCGATTCGGGGCATAACTAGGTGTTCGTGCCGACAAAGAAGGCAACGTGGCGCATACAAGTTCACTTCAAGCCCCTAAAGGTCATTGTGAAGGAGTAATCCTCAGCCTCATGCAGCCTACATACTCGATGAACAGCATGGATCAGCAGTTTTATCGGAATGAGGCTTCACAGACGCCTGGTCACAAATCTCCATTCACAGTTACGACTGGCACAAGAATGCCCTCCACACGCGCCCTCGCAAACTCGAGTATACCTGTATGACGTGTGGACCTTTCAATGTTCCCGGTGAGCAGCATCGGCAAAGTAAGTAAGGATTTAAAAGGCTTGTCATCGGCTAAATACAAATACATAAACGATTACGCTTCAGCTGTTGCGGGACAAGCACTGCCACGTGAAGAGGCGCATGTGTTCATTTTCAAGAGATTTCTGAGATTCCGTGTGTGCACCTACAACAATGGAGCCAGATCCGGCAAAAATTGATGCAATCATTTTTCACCTTTACATACCTTAAGGAAATTGCGACGTTCTACCGGAATGCATCTTACTACCTAGATTTGACTCCTGGGTTTGCTCGAATTGTTGCACTTTGACTGACCTGCCTCAGAAAGCACGGTCTGTGACCTGGACAGAGGAGTCTGGTAAAGCAGCAAAGAGGGTCCTTGGGTGCATCCTAACTTTTCTGGTACTCGCACACCCAAATAATGTGTGCCATTGCTTCCCCCCAACCGATGATAGTAGTGTGGCGGACGACGTTACTTACTTACCAACAGGTCGCAGATCCTCCTGAACACCAGAACTCGCCTGTTATTTCCAAGGCTTTGCTGAAACAGAGCAGCGACATCCATTGCGGAAAAAGAAATTTAATGCCGGGCGACAGGGCGCGGAGTGGCGCCGGCATTATTATTATGGCATGTAGGTATTGTTCAGATCAACCACTAGTCTCTCCTGTACCTTGGACTGGTTTGGGCACCTCCCGTAGAGTGACTTAACACTACTGAATGTCAAGAGCATCAGCAGCATGGTCGCCGACGGTCTCTCTAGACACCCAACGGCTTACCTTTGTACAGTGCATACGGTCTTGTGTGTGATACCTCACAATTTTTATCAAGATAGCGTGAGTTTTCTGCTTTTGCACTCACGCATCCGCCAGTATTGCAAGAACCCAAAATGGCAAAAGGTAAAGCACTTTCATCTCGAAGAAGACCTGCGGCGCTTCGAACAATTCGGGGGCACAGTCATTAATATCTCGACTTTGTTCTGCAGTGCTGTTCAGCTCAAAGCAAACAATTATAACCTGGCTGGATCCACACTGCAGTGTAACGCCTCTTACGTTCCCTCTGGTATCTTGGAAAACGTTTCGCGGAAGTTAAGTATGACCTGTTATTCCCGCGTTGCCAGCAGCTGAGGTCGCGTAGCTAACCTAAATGCGGTTTTGGCAAAACGTACCGTATCCTCAACGGACTTGGACTGCTTTGATTGTGGATTCTATTGTTGGACTGCTGGAACTCAAGGGTCAGGAATACATGTAGGTCTCGGTCGACGGACTCTGCAAGCATGTCCGTACAACTCCTTGCTCCAGCTCTGTCTCGGATCAGGAAGTGCCTCAATCGTTCTCACGCGTGTCTGGAAGCTCCATGGACTGCCGAGGTGTGTCACTACGCGCATGAAAATCAAGTTTGCAGTGACTTCTGACGTGCCTTTAACGCTAACCTACACATCCACCGCAACATGACTACTTTGGATCACCCTTTGGCACATTAACAAACAGAGCTCACCACCAGCACTCTTCCGCAGTATATGCGACTTTACGTCTGTAAAGAGCCAATAGCTTTGGCTGATTTCTTTCTTGTGCTGATTGGAGCTACACTGATGAATCCTGTTTCAAATTAAGCTTCCAAATCAAGCCTGAACCTGGTGGTCCGGTGTAGGCTGACACCATTAATAAAGGAGGCATTCAGAAAGCAGCGAGCTAAAGCATGCGAATGTATGCACAAAACTTCACTGACACAAAAACGCAGAATTATGATGACCGAATTTATTATGAACCTTGGATTTGGTCCTGAAGGTTCGGCAAGCTTGAAGAATGCAGCAGAAGATGATTACTTGAAGACGTGTGTGGTGAAGCTGCTGGGACCACTTACGATACTCTCACAAATCAATAATCTTTTGTAATCAAATCCCCCAAAAGTTGGAGATGTCAATCAGTTATTAATATTGGCTTTCTGAATTGCTCGGCCGCTTTGTAGTGCAGGCAAGGGAAGTGTAGAGGCGGATGGCTTCGCAGAAAACCATAGAAATTCCAAATCCATGACCCTTTACAGCGGCGGACAAACTGAATGGGAGTTCCTCGTGAGAGAGGGCAGGGAACACCAGCTTTAGTAGCTGACGCAGGAGCAGTTGAGGGCTTTGCTACCTTCGGAAAAATTTCAGGCTCCAGTCCGTTAACAATGCTAGCCGCCACGGGCGCTATACCTCGCATTCCTTGTCATTGTGCTTTCCCGGCGCAGTCGCTGTGAGAAATAGCGAAATCCATTTATTGATACCATTTGAAACGTTGCCATTAACTCTTGATAACGAAATCTCCACAGTCAAATTCATGCTCAAGCACCCTCACGTATGTTGTGTCTTGATTCTTCTTTTTTTATACCTTTTGGGCCTTTGAAATCAGTAGTGCTGCATGCTATGGCTGTAGCGGCATACTGGCATTGCTTGAGGTGACGAAACACTGCTGAATTGGTGTCTGTCTGAATGCCGTTAAATGTTTTGCTCGTATTTTGTTTTATGATATCAGAAAGCTCAAACCTTTCAGCAGTTGGAGAGCAGCGGGCCATCGCGCCACCACACTTGTGTTTGTTTGGTCCCTCGTTCATTATCAGCTACTATCTTGGCGTTGCCTTAACTTTGACTGTCGGGGAATGCTTTGCTTTTTTTCTTTGCAGTGTTTTCGCGCTTCCGGCTGCCTCTGGAGTGGCGACAGTGTGGGAACTCTTCCGCTGTTGTGCATGCACTTGGCCTCGACGAAGAGGTACGAAAAAGGACACTGCGTGTCCTGGACTCTGTGAGGGAAGCTGTATCAGCCTAAACTACACTCAAACGCTTTCTGCTACGGCACTTCCTATTACATCAGTTATACTAAGTTGTAGTTGGCTAGTTGTTTGTCGGCTCGTATAATTTACTGAGTGCACAATGTTATCTCGATACTAGAAGACTCAGTTTGTGTGCGTATGCGCTGGCTCCGGTGTCCAACCAGCTGTGAGGGCTCCAAGTTTGCTGAGGGTGCATCTAGGCGTACCCTTGCTGTAGCTCTCCCCTCATATCTGGACCTCTGAGGGACATGTGCGAGGAAGGCGGGAACTCTTCTGAGAGCCGCTTAAGAGCTTTATAATAATTATGTTTTGGAGTCGGAAGTTAAGTCTGTCCCTGCGTAGACCCTAGATGAAACGCCAAAAGCAGTACGCCCGAACCAATCCGTATACGGACTAGAAAGCCGTTTCTCTCGCCTTCGAATGTGTATTGCGCCACCTATGAAATAATTTGTTGAAAATGACACATGGCTTTAGTGTCTACCTCAGAAGTCCTAGGCGTAGCTCTCGCATATCTGCCCTCTAAGCATGTATCTTCGAGTCTCCCGCAGCGACAGGTCCTGTAGAAGGGGTAGGACCTGCATCTAACTGCTTGCGTAGGGCTTTCTAAGCGTATTCAAGAGGAAAATTAGTCCTCTATCGCATAGTTCATCAATAGAATGGGAAGCAGGGGTTCCCAACCCAAAAGCGTCACAGTTACAACACACCCCGTGTACGACTGCGAGACGCCTGCAAGCTGTCGATCATGAGCCCACAGCATCGTGCTTTGGTTAATATTTGTGCTACTTTCGAGAAACCAATAGTGTGTCTTTTAAGGATATAGAGAAAACAGATCATTAGTGGGCATACAGATTCTAATCAGGGGGGGTGGTTGTGCACGGCTCACCCACTGCTGTACTTCAATTTGGTGTACTCCTGCTTGTGCTGCCGCTTGGTAGCCCAACATTATAGCTCGTTTAGAAGCTTTCGCATCATAATAGGAGCTTTAGAAGTAGAAATATTGAAATATTGATAATCTGTCGTGCAGATTTGTTGCAAAAGCATAAGGCACCCGCAGTGCGCGGTGACGCCCTCGATCATGGCACGCATCAGGCCTGAAAAGTCGCTACAGAAAGAGCTGGTAGTGCCCGTTCCTGGGCTTTTAGTTTCGGCGCCCTAATGTCTAGCGATTAAATGCCTACTTTTCTTTTCCTCTTCTGGCAGCAACTTGCAACCGTAGCCCAGGGCCAGCGCCCCTTGACCAATTGCTGCCGTGGTAGGTGGTCGACGACAGCAGCACAGCCCTGCGCTGCTGCAACCGCCTTCTGTCTGATTGGGCCGAGTTTTGTGCACTTTTGGCCAATCATCACAGTGGGCGAATGGGCCCATCTTTTCTTCAGCCCCGCTTGCTCCGGTGACCAGCAGAGGAAGGGCCCTGGCGGCCCTAGCAGCATCCCCACCCGAAGTGTCAGAGCGAGACCTAGTCTTCCCCTTTCGGGCGCTTTTTTGCACGAAGCACCCTTTTTTTGAAGTTTGAAACGAGGGCAGTTTTCGGGGGGTTGCTGCCTTCAAGAGTTCGTCTCCAGAACAACCCCTCCCCCCAACTGGTTTGGGCACGTGCAGGGAAGGCCACGCCCTCTGCGGCGACATATCGTATACTGCAGCTCCACCCTTTTATTGCTTTCCCCGCTGCCCCAATGGAGAAGTCGGAGCTGCCTCTATCATCTTTGTCTGGCTTTCCCTCATTGGGAGAGTCTAGTAAGGCCCCGCTTCACCCGCCGGTACCAGGGGGGGCCTGGGGTCTAAGGGCAGCAGCTGCAAAGATGGCCGAGGCCACAGAGGCGCACAAGCCCTCAGAGAGCCCAAAGCCATTAAAAGAGGAGGAACGGCAGAACCCCGTCGCAGGATCTGGAGGGGAGCCCGCAGGAAGTAGTGCCACGCAGCGGGCCGCTTCTCCTCGCAGCCCTAAAACTATTTCAACTTGTGCAGAGGCACCAGCGCATGACGCTAATGATGAAGGAACGGATGAAGAGAATCACGAATCTGCGAGCGGCTCTCATGGCGATGTTAGCGGAGAGGAAGATGCCTCTGGAGGTGCCCCGGAAGAGCCAGGAGGAGAGTGGGCTCAGCAAGGATCCCCCAATTGGAACAAGGTGGATTCGCCAGAGAGCAGTGAGGCATCTTTGCGGCATTTTCTTGCTCCGCTATCTCGTGAGCAGCTGCTAGACTTGCTTTCTTGGGCGGCTTTGCGGGACAGAGCGGTGTATCAGCACTGCGCGGATCGCGTGCATGCTTCCCCATCATCAAGGCGTCTGATGGTTCGCAACGTTCATTTTAATACCAGCGATGAGAGGTTTACTTCCTTCTTTGAGACATTTGGCTGCGTCGATGATGCTTTAATTGTGCGGGAAAGAGACGGGCACAGCCGAGGCTACGGGTTCGTGACCTTCGCCTTCCCAGAAGGCGTTAATCGCTGCTTCGTGGCATGCCCACTCACTCTGGATGGTCGCCAGTTGCATATAAAGCTGGCTGCAGACCTCTTCACGTCGAGGGAGCAGACGAAGCTCTTTGTCCGGAACCTGCATGATCAAACAACAGCCGAGACTTTGCGCGAAATCTTCAGCCCCTTTGGTACCCTTGAGGAATGCGTGGTCGTTCGGGACGCTGAAGGCCGCAGCAAGGGATACGGCTTCTTGAACTTCTCCACGCCAATGGAAGCCTTTAAGGCAGTGCAGATGAGCGAGAGAATCATTGATGGGCGGATGGTTTTCATCCACTTCGCTTCCTCCTCGGCTAAGGGAGGCTCCAAAGCGGGGGCGCATGCGGCCCGCAGCAACATACAGCCTACGCACAGCGGCAGCAAGCAGAACAGCATGCCCAGTCAGAGGCGGACGGCAGCTCCAGGCGGAGCAGCAGGAGGCTTTTCCCTGAGGGTCCCGCCTATGCACCCTGGCGCTGCATGCCACAACTGGGAATACGCAGAGGGGCCGCACGAGCCACGCCAGAGGCATCGAAAGACCGGAGCTGATCACCAGCGAGGGAGCTACATCAGCCCGCATCGCGTCCCCATCGGACGATGCATGGGGGGCTCAGCAGGCGACCCTCTTGTCTATCCTGATGGAGCTTTCGGTGACTTGTATGGCTTCTCGCTGCCCCCATTCCCCTTCCTCACGCCATCGCAAGCTCCAGACGTGAAGAGCCCGCTATCGGCAGCTTACGCACAATTCTACTCGTATCCGGTGGGGCCCTACTATCCCTTGGCCCCCGACGGTCAACCACCCTATGGGGCCCACACTGTCACGAAGTAGCGCAGCAGATCGCTGCAGAGGGCTCCCGCAAAGCGCCTTCAGCTCGTCTAGGGGCACAAGTAAACGGTGGATGGTGGGGCGTCGCTGGTGTATCACAGGTTGTGTGACCCGCTGTAAGTACACCCAGCTTGTAACTGCGCGAGGTTGGGGTTTGCGGGGCCACCACAGGTGGTGTGACCCGCTGTAAGTACACCCAGCTTGTAGCTGCACTTTCTGCCAAGGGGCAGGCACAGCAGCTTGCAGTGTTATTATTGAGCCATATTGGGGGCAGGGCGAAAGGGGGTGAGGAAGGCAGTAACCAGGTGTCTGCGTGCTTTCGTCAGAGGGCCTCGCAGGCCCGGGCTACTCTAGCGCTGATGTTTGAGTCTTACTCAGTTCACTTGCAAGGGAAGTCCAAAAATCTGCAAGAGCGGCCGGTTTTTCTAACCAGTGCCTGAAGCTTTTCGGGTTCCCCTGAAGCCACCTGCGGTTTACGGACGTAGGGCCCCCCTGCAGACGCTTGATGGCGGAAGCAAAGGGGAATAAGGGGGCTTCCCTGAACAAAAGCGACGTGATACTGTGATTCTAGTCTAGTCCCTGCCATTAGGGCGCAGCACCTTGTTTTTAGTGACTGTGCGAAGCTATCAGTGTAAAGCTCGGCGTTCCTTTTGTTGAGCGCCAAGCCATTTGGTACCGAATACCAGTTTTTGCATGGCACAGGGCGAATAGGCTTACTGCGAGTGTCTGCTGGGAGCTTGGCAGGACTTTAGGCGTTTGGAGTCTGTTTATTATTTTCGAATGGGGTTTGGAAAGCTAAGGCGCTAATGTAGGCGACTAGAGTGTAGCTGCTGGAGATTGAACACCGTTGAATTAGCTGCTAAGTGTCTATTTCGTAGTGGCCATGGCTTGCGGAAGGCTTGTGGGCCTCAGTTGGGGGATTGCGGGATGGAGCCCCTCGAACTCGCATGAATACCTCTGAGAGTTAGTTTATGGGAGTAACTGAGGAATTCCGTTTGTGAGGGGAGGTCAGATCCATTGGCATGACCCATCACAAATGAATTCAGGCAGGAATTCACAGGAAAAAGCGTACGTATTCTGACAGGGGCGTGAAAAGGACATTATGGGAAAGAGCTCGCTGCAGCTACTACCCGGTGCGCAACAGCGAAGGGAGTGCATACCTTGAATAAAATTTATGGCTCCCTAGCGACAATTTCCTCATGAAGCGTCTCCTATACTGATATACATGACTTTACTAAAGGAGGCAGGCACCGAATCTAAAGCGCCTACCAAGAATCCCCGCACGTGTACGCTATAAAGCTGTAGAAAAAGCTGGATTGTATATCTTGGCAATAGCGTCACCCCTCTTTCTTACTCGCATGATTTAACGGGTTCCAGCTCGAGAAGAGCGAGGAGCGGGGCTGCGATGTAAGCTCCTTCGCCTTTTTAGCAGTACGAACATTGCGATACGATTGCGCACTGCAGCACGGTACACTGGTACACAACGTTTAGCTGTGTAGCATGGAGCTGGCTTCTCGTTTTATGCAACGAATGCAGTGCATGAATAGCTGAACTGATCCACCAGCATGAAGCAAATTCTTCGATGAAACAAAATGATACAGTATAAAAACCTGATTGGCGCGTGGTCTCCTACAACAAATTTACTCTTTTTGCTGCGGACTGTTGGTTAGTCTTTTATCGTGCCCAAAGGAGCCATCTGATGAGTGTAGTCGGTAGCGGCACCAAGAATCAACTCCTTGTACTCCCATTCGATATGGCCACCATAATTCTCGCATGCTCCACCATCCAGAGTCATTTCGTGGCTCTACGATGGCCTAAAACCTCCGCGCTTGTTGCTACACTGCTCGAAGTAAAGCTCCTCCGTGATCTCAAAGAAGAAACCTGCGGCAGGAATTTCATGTTCGACGCTGAAGGAGCTGCCTTGTGGGTGCTAAAGATGGGTCTTACCTCTTTGCTTTGAGGCCGTGGTATTTGGAGTCTAGGAGTGAGAGAAAGCACAAGATGCAGCTAGCCGTATTCTTCGATTATTCATTCCAGTCGCCCGCATACAAAAAGCTTGGCGAACTAGTATTTCTTGCAGCACCCTACACAGAACAGCTATCCACAAGCAACACGACACGATGTGTAAAATTTCCAAACCCTTTGAAATCTCCGCAGGAAGACTCTTTTAGCCCCCCGCGCACCACAAATTCGACAGACAGTTGATGAAAGTTTTTCCACAATAGTTCCCACTCTCTCCCTGCCATCACCCCACAAAGCCCCTGCACGAAGAGAGAGGGACAGCTAGGGTGTGCGTTGTTGTACCCTCTGAACACTCTTATTCACAGTAGGCTGGTTGCATGCAGTTATTAGCGCGTAGGCACACAACATTGCTCCCTAGTGTAAAGAGCTGCCTATGCTCTACAAACAAGAAGATACACGAAGAGCCACACCCAGCAGTCGATTTCTTTAAAAAAAGCATTTCTTAATTAACATAATCAGTAACAGAAGGTGCCAAGTGAGGTGTAGTCTGCTATACGGCAAAGTAGGTAGGCCACCCAAAAAGCACTGAGCCCGAAAGAGTAGATCTTAATCAAGAAACAACTGTGCAAAGGGGGCAGATTAATGATAACTGCGGAGCATTCTGGCCCTTAAGAGCAAGGATCTACAGGTCCCTAGCCAAATACTTTGACTTCGGCCTTTAGGGTGTTGATTGGCTGCCCTCTGTCTTCTTTTCCTGGCAGTCTCTCTGTGTGCTGAAACGTGAACGTCAGCTGTCACTGCGACAAGGCTTTGAAGGGTGCGAAGTCTGAACTGACTGTGTAGTGTGCTGTACTACATATAGAAACTTTTCAACGTACTAGATCTTCCGTGATTAATATTAGTAAAGAATCGACTGTTTCGTGTGGCTCTTCGTATACACTGCTTGTAGAGTACAGTCTGTTCGTTACCGTGTGAATGAATATCGTTTTGCAGAGCATCATCAACTCTTCACCGTAGGATGCAATGCTAAGTGCGTTTACCCTAGATGCTAGTTGCAACTGGTTGTTCCTGCTCATGGTGTTTTGAGGGTGCAGCAGCGTGCGCTCTAGTTGTTTCTCTTCCCTCAACACTGGACCCTCGGCGCCAACGGCGCGGAGAGAGGAGGCCCCTTTCGAAGAAGAAGCAACAACTTTCTATTAAGTTTTATGTTTAATTTTGTGGCTAAAAGAATCCTTCTACGGAGATTTCTAGCTGAAGCGTTGTACACTTCCGCTATATAGTTCAGTATTCTTGAAAATAAGGCCTACTGCATGCTCCGGGAAATGGCTGCAGATTTTGGCCCTCGTCTCCAAATATTAGGGTCCCCGAGCTCTCTCTTTAGAGAGGGTTAATCACGTGCCACTACTCGTAACTCTCGTAAGCACCTGAGGAGCCCCCACTACAGCACGTTTGTGTAAAGGGCAACCCATACGGGATTATGCGAGCGGCTGCCACTAAGCTGCGCCGTCTGTTCGTACCTTCTACCTAGTCCTTCCGACAGCTGCGCTGCGTTCAATTCTGTATTGGCTAAGTGGAGACAGAGCAGTCGGATGGCGGTTAGCCAGGTACGGTAGGCATGCGCGTGGCGGGTGGGGGTCTAAGAGAAAAGTCCCCCAAACCGGGGGCCTGAGGCCCTTTTGAAGGCTGAAAAAAGAGCCCATTAGGCCACCCCTTGGGCTCCAATGCAGCAATAGGGCTAAGTGCTAACGTAAGCGCTGAAACTTAGGGCAGTCCCGGTTGCTGCAGCAGCGGCCCCGGTGCGGCAAGCAGGCATGACGCCGCTGCTGCGGCGCCTGAAGCCGCGCTGCTGGAGGTTCATCTCAAGGGTCTAGGTTATCGGCTTTGTGGTTTAGCCGCACGAAAGAAAACGCTCTCTTTGGGACTCGAAGGCTCGTTTATGTAGGTTAGGGGTGCTGGTGGCGCTTTGGGGTGTAGGGCGTATCGCGCGGAGAGCGGTTTGTGGTTGCCCCCCAACCGCCGCAGTTGGGGGCAGCAGCAGACTCATCGTGTATTACGCACTCCCTCGGATAATGCTCTTCTCTTCCATTTACGTCTTCACGGTGATCCGAGGCCTGGGGGACGGGGGCGGAGGGCGCTCTGCCACCCTTCGCTCCCTCGCCGTGGCCGCTGCTGCTGTTTGACTCCGTTGTGGTGCTGCTGTCCGTGCGCCGCCCCTGCCCCTTGCTCTTTTCTCCGATGTCTTTAGCAGAATTGCTTGAAGTTCGTGCTGGTGGGGAACTCCTGCCCCTTCCGTGCGTCGGACTTGACTGCCAGCAGCGACAGAGCCGTTGGGGCCTTCGCCGCAGATACTGAGTGCTTCTGTCAATCGTGTGTGCCTCTGACCCGTTTCCTGCATCTCTTGCCTCTCTGTGGACTACCAACGGCTCGTAAAGGCAGAGATTCGAGCCGTGATCATGCGCAGTGCTCCTGCCAGGTGCCGTGCGTGCGTTCTCTAGGGGCATGTGGCGCATAACGCCTCTTTTATGGGGAAACTCACGCATGACGAGGGGCTTCTCGCTCAGCAAGGGCCTTCTTGGGAATGCACAGCTGCGGTCCCGAGACACGTGGCGGGTGTGCTTGGCATTGCCTGCGCGTTTTGATGCAGGGGGAACAAGAGTTTGCGATCTGACGTAACGCGGGTGCTCTTCGTCAGTATTTTTTTGGCTGCTGGACTCTCTGGGCCGTGTACAGACACTGCAGCTGTATTGCCGCGGCCTCGGGCCCCTCCCTAGGGCTGCCGCCAGTCTTTCTCTTTAATCCCTACACAATTCTGCAAACCGGTGAAAATGGCGCTCAAGCGCATTAACAAGGTAAGAAGGTTAGTGGTGTCGAGTCTTGAGACTTCGACTTTCCAGCAGAAGGGTGCCGCGTTTTTCAAGCTGCTTCTGTTAATCGCCCTCAGTCCCGCGGCGGGGTAGGGGGGGGCGTGGCGGGGATTGGGGAATCTACGTCTTTCAAGCCTCTTATTTGGTGTTTTGAAGCATGCGCGTGTGCCTGTAGGAGCTCAATGATCTGAGCAAAGATCCCCCAACAAACTGCTCCGCTGGTCCAGTAGGTGATGATCTTTTCCACTGGCAAGCCACTATTATGGGTCCCGAAGACAGGTACGTCCAGCATATATTCCCTACCTACCCGTATTGTACCTCTCCCGGCGTGCTATTGCCCGTCATTTTCTTTTCAGAGAGTCGTTTCCTGCGGACAGGCCGTCTATTCCTCTGCGCATGCTGAAACATGAACGCAGCTGCCGGCGTTTCTCGAGACACTTCTGTGCGTGTGTGTTCCCCCTCTTCTCCGTGTCTCAGCCCGTACAGCGGGGGCGTCTTCTTTCTGAACATTCACTTCCCGTCAGATTACCCATTCAAGCCTCCAAAGGTATGGTTCTCGAAGTCTTGTGAAGACTTCCCCATGGATCATGTGCTTCTCCAGGGAGTTTGGGGTAGGGGTTGGGCTGTGATGGGCGCTTTCCCCGGCTTCTGAGTAACCTTGTGTGCCGGCATGTCTGTGTGGCAGCTGTCATTTTTTTGTTTCCCGAGATATGACCTGCGCCTTGCGATGTAGGTGAACTTTACAACGAAGATATACCACCCCAACATCAACGGCCAGGGTGCTATTTGCCTTGACATCTTAAAGGATCAGTGGTCTCCTGCCTTGACGATTAGCAAGGTCCTCCTCTCTATATCCTCCCTGCTAACGGATCCTAATCCAGGTATCTCTGTCTTTTGGGGGGCCTTTTCTCGACATCTCCGTGCTGCAGCGTTCGCCGCTTGAAGGCCCTTCTTTTAGTGTGTTTGGGCTGTTTTTGCACGGCGAAATGGAGTCCGCTTGTCTTGCCTTGTGTAGGCGAAGCAAGCGGCGGCAGTCGGGCTACCAGTTGCGTGGGTGATGACGTGTTGTTCTTTTTGTCTGTGTGTGTGCAGATGATCCTCTCGTTCCTGAGATTGCACATATATACAAAACGGATCGTCTTCGATACGATCAGCTGGCCCGTGAGTGGTCTCAGAAGTATGCGCAGTAGAGGGTGAAAAAGCCGCCACCCCTCCCGACCCGCTTACAGGGGCCCTCCTCGGTCGGAGGTTCGGCGCTGCCTAGGCAGGCGGGCACACCGAGCAGTGAACTCGCTTACGGCAGTAGTGCGCATGCTGGAAGGCTCTTGGGGTGTATATGGGCCCTGACCTGCACTGCTCAGGGGCCAAACCGAGGTTCTTCCTGTGTGCGTTCTGCGGGGTCGTCGGATCCCGACAAAGGCCGAGGGGAGAACTGAGATGGCATTCTGTTAGAGCACTTTATTGGAGCCCGTGGGGTCGGCGCCTCCCGTTCTCATTGGCTCCCAAGCACAATTAGTTTGGCTGTTGCGCGTAGAGGGGGAGGGAAGGACGCCCCCTAGGGCACGGGCAGCCTTATCCCGCGCGTGGCGGGCCTCTCGCTTGAGGGCGTCTTGGGGCTGTGCGAGCCGCTTTCCTTGGGGGGTTCATGGACGTGAAGAAACTGTAGACGGCGGTTTTGGGGTCAGCAACTAGGTTTAGAAGGGACTAGCCTTTTTCTCGGTTCGCGGTGTCGTGGCGGTTGGTTGGCCTGTACACCTGGGGGCGAGGCCCTCTGCTTGGCAGCGACGCTTGCTGCTGCTTCACGGGGCCCACGCGTCGTCTACACAGGGAGCTATAGATGTGCCAGCAGAGACGGGAGGAGGGCGCGGGAGGCGGCTGGGGAACGAGCGGAGGGTTGCGCACTCCGCGGAAGCTAAGCCTAGGGGGTAAAGGGAGGAGGTGCGGGGCGGGGAGAAAGGGCGACTAGGTGGGGAGGGAAGGCTAGCAGCAGGAGCCACACTGCATTTCAAGGCGTCTCCGCCGTTCGCCGTGTAGAAGCGAGGCGATCCGGAGGAGGGGATAGGGGCGTTCTTCCAAAAAAACGCTCAAGGGTGCTTATATAGTCTACGTATAAAGGGCGAGGTGCGTCTCAAAGAGGTCTTAGTGCTGCCCTTGTCCCTTCATATTTCAAGAGTCGCGAGCGATTCTTGAAATATGAAGCTATAGACGCACGAAGGCTGGCGGGGAGGCGGGATGGGGGAGGGGGGAAGGGGGCCTCATGATCATCAAGGCACAGGGTTGAGGGGTGGGGGGGGATTCAAGCCCCGGGCCCTAAGCCTGCTCGGTTCGAGTGGTTGCCACTGACCGCTACCAGCCTTCCGCTAACTGCATGCAGCTTCATCATGTCGCAGTACTTGCTGCTCCGACTGCTGCTGCTGCTACTCGGTTTGACTTGCTGTGGGAGGCCCCATTTGGTGAGCGTTTTAGGCCTTCTGTATTTGAGACTCGAGTAAGGAAGTGCCGTCACAAGAAAGCGCGGCAGACTCCAGCGGGGGCCTCCCCGGTACTTTTGCAGCCTGCAGCACACGGGCAGACATGTTTTTCGAAATCGAGCCATAGGTGCTGCAGTGCTAAGCCACCTGATTTATAGGCAGAGGCTGCCTGCACGCGCTCTCTAGCGAGCAGGTCTGCGGTCAAGGAGGTTTTTCTGGAGGGCTGACTTGTATGTCCAACTGGATTTACAGCGATCTAAAAGCGGACAGGAGAGCCGCATCGCTCTCCTCGTCCCTATCCCGGAATGTGCCTCCCGCTAAGACCTTAGATAACTGGAGCGCAGAAGCGTGAAACCCCATGAGTTGCAGGGCTCATAGAGAGTTTCCCAAAAACTGGCAAGGGCCTCCCAAACAGGTCCGAGCCGCCGCTGCGGGCACCGTCTTCCGTAAGCAGGGCGAACGCGGCAGCTACTCTACTTGCAGGCTTTATGCTTCTACAGAAGCGGTGGGCGCAGCAGTAACAGCGGCGGCAACAGCAACAGCAGCTGCTACTCCTGGTGGGAGCGTGCCGCTGTCCGGGTTGCACTTCTATGCCCGCTTTAGTGTCTGTACGGCCCTCTCTGCCGAATGCTCGCACCTTCTCCCGCAGCTGAAGCTACATTCGACAACAATGCGCACAGAGATGCGAAAGCCTTGAAGCGTCGACGCATGCACCTTGTCGCGCCTCCTGGGGCTTGGGCTGGCCGCTAGACGAGAGGTGCCGCTGGCTTTCTCCCAAAACCTTTCAGGCGTACTTAAAAAGTCTGAAATATACGGTTTGATCACGCTGAAACGAACAGGAAATGGGCACTTTGGCTTGCGCTTCCCCACACAGCGTGAAGCCTACGCCGCAAGCTTCCAACCCCTTTTGCCCTCGATCAACGCTTTTCGTCGGCGTGGTCTTATCAGAGACCCACGCATGGTGTTGAGGGCTTCCTGGAGGTGAGTTTGAGCGAACTTTTGGAGGGGTCGCGGCCAGCGTGTCTGTACAGCCCGCCGCTACCTGAGGAGGAAGATTGCCAGCCTGGGAGTGCACACGCGGCAGCCAGTGCAAGTTCCTCAGCGAGATCGCGTATGCATGCACCCCGCCGAGACTCTAGGGGCAGCCGGAGAAGAAGTGCAGCAGCAGCAGCAGCCAAAACACCTTCCGCACAAGACCTCGGACCGGCAGGGAGGATGGCTGCCTGCGGGGAGCCGCCGTTCTTCCGAATCACGACCACCCCGCAGCACTGATTCTCCGAGAGACACCGCAGCAAAGGGCCATGTGTCCTGCCCTAGTACATTCGCAGTCCCCTCCCCTTCGCGAGCTGCGTGCTGAGAGCACCAAAAGTGCCGGATGTCATTCCAGTCTCATGCTTCTGCATCCAATGCCACGCGATGCCTGCAGGCCGACACTGGGCCTTGCACTTGCAGGCTCGGAGGAGGCGCCCCCCGGAAGGCGATGCGTCACTCGTCCAGCAACGGCTGACCCCCCCTTGCCTCCCGTGGAAGGCCTCTGCTGGGATAAGATGCTGTCGTTCATTTCCCAAGTTGCCGCTAGACAAGGTTTGTCGCCGGTAGACGCAGCGCCAGCGGCGGGAGGCACATCTAGACTTCCAACGAACCAGGCTTCAGAGGGACTGCCGTTCCTCGAGCAACTGCCACTGGATCACTCGCAGCAGCCTCAGAACGCTCCCCAAAGAGCTTTCTCCAGATCTCCCGGTTTGTCGCAAGGGCGACGACCTCGAGCTCGAGTTGCAGCGAAGTCTGCATTCGCCTTGGCTGCAGAATCTCGGATGTGTGCAGGTGCTCCTGCTGGTGGGGAGGGTGCCCCTGCTGTTGGGGAGACTGCCGCTGCATCCCCTGCCAACACCCCGCAGTGCTCGCTGCCAGCTGCAGTAGGCGTGGGAAGCAGGAAGCGTCGCAGTGCGCAGGAGACACCGGCGCAGCAGCAGAAACAGCAGGAGAACCAGATATTCCTGCAAGGAGCTGGGCCTTGCCAGAATCCGCCCAAGAGGCGGAGAGGACGACTTCCCCAGAAGGAGGCACAGCAGCAGCCTCAGCAGCCTCAGCCTCAGCAGCAGCAGCAGCCTCAGCCTCAGCCTCAGCAGCAGCAGCAGCAGCGGCAGCAGACTATTCGGCCTTCTTCTTCTTCAGGGAGGAACTCGTTTCGTGTGAAGAGTTCTTCCCCGACACCCTGCGAGCCGCCTCCCGTGGTTCGCTCTGAGCTGCTGGTGTCTGAGGGTTTCTCTTTGGACGTCTCGAAGGCTTTTTCGCCCTTCTTGAGCACTGCTGCAGAGCCTCCAGGGCAGAATGCGCTAGTGGTGGCGTCTACCCACGCTGCCTCTGGATCCGACAGGGGGGCCCCTCTTTTGTGTGACGATTCGGAGCAGGACCAGCCTGCGGACGGCGAGATTCTGCAGGAGTTGGAAGATTCTCTGTGTTCGCTCTTTGAATCAGGCGAACCTCAAGAGGAAGCTCCCTCTGCGGGGGCCCCTCGGGGCGTATCGTCACCTCGGCGTCTCGAGGGGCCCCCCTGCAAACAAGAAGCAGGGGAAGGGGGAACTTTGCAGGAAGGCCTCGCAGAGAAGCATGCCCTTCTGCCCGAAACGCTGCCACAGGCTTCTTCCCCCGAACTGGTGGCTAAGGAAGGCTCCCGTTCCGCATTGGCTGCTTCACGGAAACTAGAGAAGGGTGGGGGATGCCAACGATCTTTGTGTAGCGAAGCTCTAAAGAAGGCCAGGGATGCTTGCAGCCGCCTGGGGGCCCCTACTGCTGTCCCTGCCGTTCCTTCAGAAGGGGCCCCGAAGGGCCCCTGTGCGTCCGCGCTCTCCAACAGCAGCAGCAGCAGCAGCAGCAGCGAAAGGAGCAGCACGTGCAGCAGTAGGAGCGCGTGCAAGGGCTGCGACGAGCTGCGGCAGCAAATGCTGCGCATGCAGCTGCACGGGTACGAAGAGTGGGGGGAGAAGAACAGCCGCCTCGTTGCTGCGTTGGACAGCAAGCAGCAGGCGCTGCAGCAGCAGGAGCAGCAGATGCACGGCTTGCAGCAGCAGATCGAGCAGCTGCAAGTCCAGCTGAAGCAGGCAGCGGAGGAGATTAGGCGCAGAGACAGCTTGCTGCTGCAGGCAAAGGAACAGAAACAGCTTCTAGAAGAGGCCCTGGAGCATGCAGCGGCAGCAGAAGCCGAGCAACAACAAGTGCTGCAGGCTACCCTGTTGCAACTTCAGCGGGAAAGAGAGGACGTGAAAAGGCTGCAGAGACTCGCCGCTGCAGATGCCAGATGCATCCGAGATTTGATGACGACACAGCAGCCACAGCAGCAAATGCCGCCTGCTAGCGCCTCTGGAGCTCCCGCGAGAAGCTTCAAAGCGCCTGTTGCGTTGGGATGTGCAGCGCCACCCCCCTCTCCGCAATACGGCGAACTCACCAACGGGAGCAACACCTCGCAGCACAGTTGCAACAAGGTGCAAGAAGCGTCAGCGGCAGCATCAGCGGACCCTACATCCCCTCCGTTGCCTGTGGAGAGCCTGGATGACGAGATTTTCGGGGCAGGCGAAGTGCCTGCAGAGCAGCAGCAGCATCAGCATCAACAAAAAGAACAAGAGCAACAGTTGCCTCCTAGTGCTGAAGCAGCCTGGCGATTGGATGCTGTCGTGGCTTCGGGCTGCGAAGCACCACCACCTTCGCCGCAGTACTGCAGAACTGGAAGCAGCAGCAGCAGCAGCAGCAGCAGCAGCAGCAGCAGCAGCAGCAGCAGCAGCAGTCGCAGTAGCGGCGGCAGCATCCCTCGAGCAAGAGCAGCAGCAGACTCCTCTTCCCCGCGTGCGTCTGGGGAGGGCCTTGACGTGCAGACTTGGGGGGTGGGGGAGGCGCGTGAAGAGCAGCAGCAGCAACGAGGGGTCCTTGTGGAAGAAGGAGGGCTGATGCAGCCTCCGCAGCAGCTGGCAGAAGACCAGTCGTTTTCACGGCTAGGGGAGAATCTTCGGTCAGAGACAAGCCTGCGGGATAAGCAGCAACAAGGTCAGCAGCAAGAGTCAAGCTTCGAGAACAAGTCCTCGTCGCCTCCAAGCCAGGATAGTCAGCAGCACCTTCAGGTGGCTGTTGTACAGCAGCCGGCGCATGCGCGGAAGCAGCAGCACCAGCACCTCGACAAGCAGCAAAGACTGCAACAAGAACAACAGGAGGAACAGATCAAAGCCGGAGCCCTTTTGCCACTGCAAGAGGGCCAGCAGCAGCACGCATTGCAGGGGGAGCAGCGTTTGATGCAAGAAGAGCCGATACAACAGCGACTCGAGGATGAACTGTTGCTTCCGTTGGAAAGGGAAAGGCAGCAGGAGGAAGAACAGCATCAACAGGAGCTTGAGGATGAACTGTTGCTCCCAATGGAACGGGAGAAGCAGCAGGAGGAAGAGCAGCATCAACAGGAGCTTGAGAACGAACTGTTGCTTCCAATGGAACGGGAGAAGCAGCGGGAGGAAGAGCAGATCCAACAGGAGCTTGAGAATGAACTGTTGCTTCCGTTGGAAAGGGAAAGGCAGCAGGAGGAAGAGCAGCATCAACAGGAGGTTGAGAATGAAGTGCTGCTTCCAATGGAACGGGAGAAGCAGCAGGAGGAAGAGCAGCATCAACAGGAGCTTGAGAATGAAGTGCTGCTTCCACTGGAAAGGAAAGAGCAGCATCAACAGGAGCTTGAGGATGAACTGTTGCTTCCGTTGGAAAGGGAAAAGCAGCAGGAGGAAGAGCAGCATCAACAGGAGCTTGAGGATGAGCTGTTGCTACCACTGGAACTGGAGAAGCAGCAGGAGGAAGAGCAGCGTCAACAGGAGGTTGAGAATGAAGTGCTGCTGCCACTGGAACTGAAAGAGCAGCAGGAGGAAGAGCAACATCAGCAGGAGGAAGAGGATGAATTGTTGCTGCCCCTGCACTTGAAGGATCAAACGGCAGAGGACGAGCGGCGGCAGGCGCAGGGTTTGGAGGATAGTACATTGCTGCAATCATCTAGTTTGCAGCAACATCACGAGGTGCCGTCGGCAGGTAACTCCTCGTTGGAGTCTCGACGGCCTCATCAGGGAGAGGATTGGCAAGTTCTCGAGGAGGAGTTTCTGCGGCCGCTGTCGCAGGGAGCACAAAAAGAGCAGCATGCGGCACAAAATACGCGAGAGAAGTGCCATTTGCAGCAGCCCTACAGGCAGCAGCAGCAGACCGTCGAAGCTGGAGGTGCAGGAGGGCCAAAGAGGAGGCGGCACGAAGCGGATTCCTTCCCACAAGCATCAGCTGTAACACTGCCAGTCGCTGCAGAAGCACCAGCTGCAGCAGTTGCAGCACCGGGAGCGACAAGTGTTGTTAGAGAAAAGCTCAAGCTGCTCGTCGAGCATTGCCTTACGGCAGCTTCATCATCGGTCCCGATATATTGTTGCTGTTACGCGTGGGCTGCCAAGAAAGCTGCATCGACGATCAACTGGCTGCTCGTGCAATCTCAGCAGCAGCAGCAGCAGCAGGTGCTGTCGCCGCAGCTGGACAGCTGCAGCGCCAGTGGTTCCTTTAATTTGTTGCTTCTGCTGTGGCAGCCCCTGCTGAAGCACGCAGCTTCTCTCCAAGCGGCGTACACTGCGCAGTGTCTAGAAACAGCCGTTAGGGCGGCCCCTTTGCTGCGACTGCGGCTGCTGTTGGCACATCTGCTCCAGCAGCTTCTTTCTGCGCAAAGTCGAATCGCTGCACGCATGCAGCAGCAGCAGCACCACCACCACCAACAAGAGCAGGCGCAGCAGCACGAGGAGCGGCGAGTCCTCTGCCTGTCGCTGGCCTTGGTGGAGGTGTGGCAGCGAGAGCAGCAACTGCAGCCGTCCTGCCCGTGTTGCAGAGGCGTCCAGGAGCACAGCTGGCTGTTAGCTTCCCTGCGGGGTGCCTTGCTGGGGCGGTTGCATCCTCTCGCGAATTCCAGGGTCAATGGGGGCCTCAATTTTTGTTGACAGCCGGAGTGGCAGGAGCAACAGTTGTATGCACTTCACTGACACCTCGAATCCCGCTTTCTGCAATGTTCGCAGGCGGTGGGAACGCATGTAAATGATTTCTAGTCATCTTTCTGTCGTGCCTTGTTGCTTGTGCCGGTGCTGGAGCAGCAACGCCGAGAGCAAGTGCCGCAGCGAGAGAGGCAGCAGGGCCTGATGCAAGTTGCAGCAGAACATGCTGCAGACAAGCTCCTCGTGCACTTCCAGAAAGCATGAAGTGCGTGGGCGGGTTAAAGCTCCTGCAATGTTTTTCCGTATAGCTCATCATCCCTTTCCCATCGCCAGCACAGCTAGCTCTAGCGGCTTGCTTCAACTGGGCCTGCACAGAAGGGAGATATTGAGCGCAGCTAGGCAGCGTGGCGGGCTTTACGGCTCCCAAGGCGGCTGGAGCACACCGCTTAGCTCTGCAATTTGCTTCGTAGCCCCCCTGCTGCACCTATTCACAGGGGGCCCTTTGTGTGAGGGGGCCGCACGGCCTTCCTCCTTATTTGTTACGTCAACGACAGCGGATCGCCGCTGCGCGGGGACTTTGCACAACGGTGCACCCCAATTTCTGTATGGTAGTTCAAGTGTTGAGAGTCTGAGGTGAGGCTGGTCTTGGTCCACATGATCGTGCTTAGAACAAGGGGAAAATAAAACGTCAACCCCGTGTAGAGGCGGCGCTTCCAGGGTGGACAAAAGCGCAAGACCCATCATGGCTTCGCATGCAGTGGCAGAAAGCAGCGCATGCACTTGACGCTGGCGAAATGTAGCTTGCCAGCTGCACAGTTCCGCGCATGACATGGCCAAACCCGCTGCCTTCGCAGCGGCGATCTGCCGCCGGAGAGGTACAAAGCTCAGGAGAGCCGAAGGTGTAGTCCACACAGACAGAAGCACTGCAGTCAAGAGGTCTAGAAAAAGGCGAGTCTCAGCAGCCCACGTACGGTGGTACCCACATACACCGCGGCGTCAGGACGCCGTGCGCGGAAAAGATGCTCTTTATAGGTCAAAGGAGCCAGTGTAGGCTTTGTCTCGTGAACACCAGTAGGTACTCTCTCTAGAAGGCTCACACTCTGTGTGCTCGTGCAACTGTAGACACGACCAACTACGCTTTTACACAGCCAAAAGAGACTTCAAATAGAGCATTTCTTGAAAGGAAAAGTCTGCGTTTTCGAACTATACGCATAACCACGCTCTTTTACAGCCAAAGATGACTTGAAATGAAGCGTGTCATGGAAGGAAAGAGTCTGCGGTTTTACGATGCACCATTCGAGCAAGCAGTTCTAAAAGATACACAAGCTTTCTGCGGTGCAAACAAAGCACCAGGCGGCTTAAATACGGCAGGCGCTGGGCTTGCCACACTGCTTAGGGGACCTCTTTCCTCTAGGATATCTAAAGTGCATGCACTGCCTGGCAGGGTGCAACCTGGTACACACACATGCATCCGTGAGATCTAGGCGACAAACAAGGCTTTTTCGGACCCTTGCGGCAATTACATGGATTTCCAAAAAACACTTTGTTGCATCACACCTTCGATCGACAGCGCATAGCTCGTTCGAAGAGGTCTGACACTGCCATTCGAATATGCATTCCGAACTCGCCGCTACCCATCGTTGGTCTGCGGTTCGCTCCCCGTATATCCCTCTCGTGATTTTTCTCAAAGTCGATGTCTGTACCTCCACTGGGTGCTTCAGTTAGTTAGCCTGGCCCTTCATGACATCTTCTCCCGAGGTGTCTTCAGCCAACGCGTCTAGAGGCTAACCGAGGTACCGTTTCCTCCAAGTTCGCCAGTACCTTCGACCACAGCTTAGTTAAATCGAAGCCTTCTGGCAGTTTCTCAGCTGGAATTACACCCTTGATCAGCAAAATCGTGAACACGACTAGGAGAAACAATGCCAAATTCTGGTGCGTTTTTGCCCACTCCCTGAGGCGCTGTCTTGCCGGTCCAATGGGTTGCTTTCCCTCTTGCTGCTCGTCCTTCGAAATAGACTGAACGGCTCCGGGAGGAAGATACTCAACCTCCATTTTCTGTCGAAGGTCTTCCTCCTTGTCTGAGAAGTCTTGCGGAGGAGGCAATGCATGTGCATCATCTCCCTGGGAAGCCAACAGACCGTCATCGTCCACAGCTCCAGTGAGAGGTTGCCCGTCTTCGCCTTCCTGTGGATGCGTGTGTGGATTGACGTCATCTGTAAGATTGCCAGTATCACTCGGTTCTACAGACCCTTCGCCAACTGGGATAGCCATGTCTGACGTTTGCGCAGTTGTGCCCGGCGGTGACACCACCGCTAGTAGGAGCACCAGGAGGCATCCCCAGTGAGGCTTCACTCTCAACATTGTGACACAAAGAGGGGCTCTCTTAATACGGAACACGAGGTCTACACAGTGGACTACGGCGAAAAAGAGGAGTACACGTACTGCCTAACAAACTATGGTCTGAGCCCTCCTGTGACGCCTACCCTCAAACCTGTATGCGCTCCTTTTTGTGAGGTTGCTAAAACGTGCTTTTCTCTGGTCCTTGAGCTTTAAAATTACATCCAAATACACCAATAGAAATGCATCACCATGCAGATCAGGTTGTCAGATCCTGGCCAATCAACGCCACGGTTTCCAGAAGAAACCGGTGTACTGATCAGCTGGAGGTCGAGGGAAGGACTACAGAAAAGAAACTGCGCACATACAAGCCTTAAAAATATAGACAATACAAAAGCAAGATGTGTGCTGACAGAATTGCACACTTCGAGAGGGACACAGGCAAGTTCCGGCGCCGGCCTGCGTGCAGCCCAGCAGCGCCCCGACAGATGAATAGCTTGTCGCGATCCCCTTTCACGCCTTTTTTTGAAAAAGTAAATATAGTGAAACTTCCTCAAAGTGTCACTAGTTATATATTTTTGCCTGTCTCTTGATATTGTTCTTAGCATATGTACCTCATTTTTTGGCCGGGAAGTAGCGCTCGTTCCCACCGCGCCTCCCACTGGACACGTGAACCGCTCCCCAAGTGGCATCGAAATCAACATTTTTTTCCAGAGCATCGCCTCAGAAATATTTCTAGATCCATGAACCTACAGAATGGCTTTTGTACGGCATTGGGCACCGCTACCCCAGGAATGGGCACATGGGGGAGGTCTTTTCTTGCGAGTGTCCCGTTGCCGCAAGACGCTTACACCAGCCTGTCAGCGAAGATTCGGGGGTAACCAATCCTAGAGTTGATTCATATAGGTTCTCCTATAAAATAGATCATGAGATCCGAGACCTATACTCCCCCGAGATAGCTCTGGGTGAAACCCTGAACTCATTGTCGCAAGCGTCTGCCGACTTGTATGCTGACTACACTGCGTATAATCACTTCTGAGTGCGCATGCTACCTGGGGCCAATCAAAGAAGTAGGACGGTTTGACCAGTCTGTATTTCGCGTTGGCACAGGTGCTATTAGCCTTTTCTACATGAGAAGGCCTTCTATCTAGCGTGAAGTGACGTAAAGTACGAAACTGGGGATCGACCAAGGCAACATAGCCCTTGCAACCGTGAAAGGACAAAGGGAGGATAGTGCTGAAAGATCTGGTCGCCTCAGGATGAGAAAGTTTTTATGTCTTATTCCCTTAAGAGGCAATGTGTGTAGCGAGCTAGGCTAGACATGGGCCCTTGCTACTACACTGGTTACAATTGACTAAGAATACTTGAGGCGCCAACTAACTCTTTTATCTCTTCGCAGTTTTAAGAGCACTACTAGACGTATATAAGATGACGCAATATATTGCGCCCCTGCGCTGGATACTATGTGCAGCTAGCTGTAAGTGCCCGAACTGCTTGGAGGGTGCAGCAGCGCCCATCGTAGCTGTCACTCTCGATTCACGTCAGAACTCTATGGGTCACCGCCAAGTAAAAGAGAATTCTTTCGAAAGAACGTTTTAAAATGTATAAGTAGGGTGCATTGAGTTTGGAGTCTGCTGAAAAGCGTTCGATTGAGCGGTACAACATGACACAAAACAGCAAATTCGTCAAGCAATCTGCATAATCAAATAGAATAGGGTGAAGCATGAGCGCAGCAGCCCTAGTAAACAGCCTGAACAAAGGGGCTGACCGATAAGAGGACTGCAGGTCTGGAGAAGGCCATACGCGCTAGAACTCCCCACAGTACCTTCCAACATCGAAGAACGTCGGAGTGCAAAATCCACAAGTTTTCTGCAAAGATAAAGACAAAATTGTAGTGCTGAAGGCTTCAATGAGTTGCAAGTGGGCGACTTTGCAGCTTCTCCTTTGAAACTGGCAAAAATTTCTGACACAACAGAGGAACAAACAGCAGTGCAAAACAGACAACAGTGCGAAAAGGTCGTGGCAAGCTGGAGGGAAATCTGTGTGGTACTCTGTCGTCTGTGAAGTGACCTACCACACTGATCGAGATACAAAGTAAACTGCGAGACTAGAGAGAGGAAGACTCCAGTGTATCCGTAGGCATGCGTCAAGCAAAGAGGACTATGAATTTCCTAATTCGGCTCCAGAAGCACATGATTTTGTCATACCGTAGGTTCACACTTGACACGCGCCTTGAGCAAAGTAGGGCGCGTAATTATGAGGGGTTTCGGAGGCCTCGCACCGCATTGCGCACAAAATTCACAGACTCGCAAAGGCTTTGTTGTTCCTTTTCTAACTGGTCGGATTCAGAGCGGGAGCGGCTGTACGGTCACTCTCCTTGTTCCAGGTCCAGCTAGCTCTTCACACCTAACGACGCAACCAGCCACGTGTTGCACAGGCAAATACATGGCTTCGCTTGCCTTTTTCAGGGAAATACCATCCCCCGCCACCTTCCCTTCGCCCTTCTTCGTCCAATTCCATTAGCCCCTGTCGACTTCGATGCGCTCGGTGCCTACACGAGTTTAGATGACTAGAATAGTCCAGTTGTCCACATTACTTTCCCTGCTCCTAGTGCAAAGCCAGCTCGAAGTCAGGAGTTACGGGAAACGTTTTTCCAATCGTGAGCTCAAAGC